CAGGAATGGGGCTATTGCCCCAGAAAGAGGGGCAAGCAGCAGCTCAGTTGTGCCAGGAGCTGTGGGGCTTGCTCTGCATGGAGAAGGAACCCAGAGAGCTGGGTCAAATGTTGCTTCTCTCCAGGTTCTCCTAGTTGATCTGCAGCAGCACAGTTACCTCCCACCAGCTATTGCCTACTAACAATATTCAACTGAAAGAACAGGAAAGAGCCACAAATGCTGATTTCCTAAGGATTACAAGGTGACTCTGGTACAAAAGTCCAAGGAGAAGTGGGGTGATGTGTGCTCACGTGGGAGCTGAGCAGCCAGTGGCTGAGCAGTCCCCTGATCAAAACGTGCATAGCTCATGCCATCTCTTTTCTTCAGAACTATTCCTTCTAATGCTAAAATCAAACATTTTGCATGAAACAAAACGTGCTCCAGCCACAGACCACTCAGTCCCAGAGCACCTCAGCAAGCACTGGAAAGGGGGAAGTTCCCTATCAAAGTTACAAGTCTGGGATGGTGCCTGGCTCCACCAGCCCTGTGAGCACCCAGCCCCACAGTCCCTGCAGCACACACACTTACCATTGCTATGTTTTCCTGTGTTACAAATTTCAGTTTGTTTTCCATTCGACGTAAGGCATGTGACAATTCTTCATTCTTCCTACTAAGGCGTTTGTTTTTATCCAAAATGGGCTTATACTGACTTTCAGCTTCTCTAAGCCGTTTTAACTGAAAGAAAAAGAATAAATAACACCTCCAGAGTGTTTCTTTTTCATAAAATAAATGAGTAATTTTCTTTAACTATCACACTAGCAGCATTTTCTCCTAATGTGAAGTAGAATGGATCAAAAGCTCTTGGTCTTTTCCACTGGGGAGCAGATGGTTCCTCCTTCCTGAGGGATCTATTCCATCTGTGCCACAAGTGCACCGAGCAGCAAACGTGTTCATGTTGAAAAATAAATAAACCCAACTCCAGATAATGCCATCTTAAAAATCCATTGCTACCTAAGCAAGGATCACAGAATCCTAGGATCATGACCTGCTATGAAATTAATGTCTCTTCTGTGTTGCTTTAATATTTGTTCATATTTGCCACTTAAAATACTCAAGCCTCTTGTTCTGGAGCTTTTCCTTTTTGTCCTTTTGAACAGGATTTTTAGGCACTAGTTCTCCTGAGGTTTATCTGTCCCACTGCAATATAAGCCACACAGTGACAGATGACCAAATTCTGAGAAGCTGTTTGCTGAAATATTCAGAGCTTGGTGAGACAAAATTGTGCTAAAATGGTATGAATCCAGTATTCACGAAAGACAAGGCAGGGCATTTCAGTCTGGGGCATGTTGCTTTTGGGCCAGGTTGTGGTACTAAATCTTCTCTTTCAATAAATGGTTTTATATCTATAAATCAAGCATAGAGCAACACAGATGGGTGTGATGTGGCTCCCCACCCAACACAGGCTGCGAGGAGGAACTGGAATGGGCTGCCCAGGGAAGTGCTGGAGACACCGTCCCTGGAGGTGGCACTTAGTGCCACGGTCTGGCTGATGTGCTGGTGTTGGTCATAGGCTGGACTTGATGGCCTTAAAGGTCTTTTCCAGCCTTCAGGATTCTGTGAGGAGCCAGCTCGTCCTGCAGGGATGTCCCACTGGCACAGGGGAAAGCCCCTCAGTACTTTGGGCAAGACAGAAGGAGAAGGGAAGGGGAAGGAGGGAGAAGGGGAGGGCAGGGGAAGAAGGGAGAAGAGGAGGGCAGAGGAGGGGAAGGGAAGGGGAGGGCAGGGGAAGGGCAGGGCAGGGGAAGGGCAGGGAAGGGGAGGGGAGGGAAGGGGAGGGGAGGGAAGGGAAGGGAAGGGAAAGGGGAAGGGGAAGGGAAAGGGAAGAGAAACAACAGTAACCAGCTACTGTTTTCTCCCATTTGACTTTGGGGGAAAAAAAATGAAGCTTTTTAAAATGTTCCATTCAAACCTATGGGACTTTAAAGGGACAGAAAGTGGTAAAGAGTCCTGATTCACCTTTAAAAATAAAAAAGCTGATAGGAAAGATGTTCCCAGCAGATTTTTCCCATGTGAGACCATGAGACCCATATGAAGGCTATTGCATGGTGGGACGTGGAGCAGGGACTGGGTTTTCCCCTGTTTGTCCTCAGAGCTGCAATTCCAGTGATATCTCATTGCCCTAATTAGGGTTAATCAAGGAGAAAGGAGGCAAGTACCCAGTCAGCTGCAGATGGAGGCTGCTGTCGCTGTAGTGTATCTAAATCAAACCCATTTACTGTAAGCCCTTCTACAGAAGTTGCAGCTACTACATTTGTTTAAGAAAAAAAAAAAAGCCTGTCTTATGCTAAACATGGAATATGAGATATTTTACTGAAAAGGAAGGGGAAGGGGAAGGGAAGGGCAGGGCCCAGCCGCCCTCACCAGCTCGTTCCTCTCCTCGGACAGCAGCGCGTTCCGATCCTCCAGCTTCCTGATGATGGCGCTCAGCTCGGCGATTTTCAGTTGGAAACGCCGGGCATCCTTTTCATCCAGCTGCTGTTCCTAAAACAAAGATCAACTGCAAATAACTGCTCGTAAGTGCACACGCAGTAGCAATATTTTTCCAAGCCCAAACTGTTCCTTATCCCCCATCCAAGCATTTCAAAGCATGACAGGGCAGAGTGTCCCCTACGTAACCTCACTGACCACTGGCAGCTGCAGGATGAGACCAACGGAAAGTTAGGAGTGAAAATGTAACAAAGTATGCAAATGCAGAAGTATGTATATGCAAATACAAATCCACAAATGGTGAACTTGGGAACGGAAAAGGAAACATGAAAACTTAAGGCAATGTTTCCAGCACATGCCACTGCTGAACTGAGTGCTGCAGGCATGTACCCACTCTGAGGACTTTGGTATAGGGAAGTGATATCAAAAACACTGAAGTACACGTGGGGAAAATCCATGCAATTATACCATTGCATTAGCTTTTCTTCCATAAAGCTGTGGCCCTTATTGGGCTCTACAGGGCCACGCATAAAGCCAAAGGGGTAGCACTTTGTCTGAGTGAAAATGCCTAAATCAAATTATAAATTAATAGAAATGTAGGCAGACGTGTCCTCGTTCAGAATCAGAGAGAAGTTACATCTGTTTACAAATGTGACAGACATTTTCCCCTTCTCTAGGACTTGTTCAGCTCTTTGGCAGAAGTTGAGTACAAATGGCAACAAGCAAATTAGTGTTGGCCGAGCTGGTGGCACTTGGGGAGGTCTGGGGTTCCTCATTCAACAGGTGCAGGAGAGGCTTGGGACAAAGAATAGAAGAGATTGGCTTGCTCATGTACAAGTATTTACACTTCTACTGAGAAAATTAAGGCTGTTGCAAAAGAAATCTTGATGAGAATCAGCAGTGAAGAAAATCTGTGTAGGTCAGATCCATGAGGACAGTGAACTGGGGCGGGGGGTGGAGGGAGTGGTTAAGCAAATTAAAGCCAAAGCAGAAAGGTGCCATAGTTACATCGTGAAAAGGTGACTCAAATTTGATGTTCTGGACATTGCATTGTAGAAAAGCAGTAGGAGGGAACAGGTTAGCAGGTGTTTAATTCACTTCCTGGCCCACTGAAAGCGAGAGCAGCCGGCAGGGCCGCGGGGCCCCCGCGCCTCCGTGCACCCAGTGCCTTCCCCAGCTCCTCCCTTTGCACACTGGCCTTGCACATCTGCTCACAGGCCCCGCTGGCAGCAGGTCCCAAAGCCTAGCACACACATACATGACTTGGTTAGAAATGCATTTGCATCATTTGTTGGCAGAAAGTGTGTCAAAGTGTCAAATCAAGGCAGGCGGCAGAAGGATGGTACAGTGAGGGAAAAGAAGAGGAAAAAGAACAGAAAAAAATTCACCCTGCTCAGAAAACCAAACAAACCAGAAAATGAAATGACAAGCAAGCAAAAGCTCTCCCATAGCAAGGTTTGATCTCAAAGGTTTGGCTGACAAATGAGAGCAAGAAACCAGTGCCTCAGGGTTCCCCTGCCTGGCTATGGGAAAGCTGTTGCTCCCAGGTGTGCTCATCAAGATTCTGTCACTTTGTGCCGATTTGTCACTCTCTGTCTGCTTGTTTCTGTAGGTGAAACCACGTGAAAGTGCTTACGGGGCTTCCCGAATGATCTGAAGCGTCTCCTGCACCACTTGCATAAGGAAGTTCCCGCTTGGGGCTGCTCAGATGCCGATCAGACTCTTTGATCTGGGAAAGTTGTTCATCTAAAGCCTCCTTTTGGAGCTGCAGTCTCTGAGCATGCCCGGCTTGAACCCCTAACTCTCTCTCCAGCACGTAGACTGCTCTGTCTTTAAATTTAATCTCCTCCATCTACAAGGAGAACAGAACACAATCACACAGGCAGGCAGCAGCGTGACAACAGCAGAGCATCTTACGACCCCAAACACGGCCAGGGAGCAGCTGCACAGAGCTGACAGCCCTGGACATGGAAAACACACCACCACCCTCCTGCAAACAGAACAGCCACCAGTATTGCACAGAGAACACACCAGCTGAGCCCCTTCACCAGCTCGTGGAGAGCAGCCTTCTTCTGGGGGCCACCCAGAATAAAGTCTCTCTTTTCAGCGGGAACTTTTTCTTTCACTAAAGTGCTGGGGAAATAACCCACGTTCTCAGCACCATTTCAGAAGAACTTTTAAAAAATTTAAACCCCAATATTCACATCACAGTTTGGATTAGTTCACTCCAACAATTCAATGATTTTGCAGCATTTTGCTCGGACATCACCTTTTGAAAAGCTGGAATCTTAACTTTAAAAGAAAAATACTAAAACCTGAATAACCTTTTGCTTTTCAAAATATAGAAAGAATACAAATTTTTACAAGTTTTTTTCCCAGAAGTCTCCCATGTGAGAAATTTGTTCAATTATCCCCTTTCCATGAAAGGTTTTGCTTAAGCATGATCAACATTATGCAGTATCATTAAGTGCTTAAATGACAAATGTGCAGCTATCTCCAGAGCCCTCCTCTTTGCTTGCACTGCTCCTGCTGAGCTCGGGGAGCCATCCTCATGGCTGTGTGATCAGGCACATTGAATTTCCAGCTGTTCCAGGAATACTTTTTGAGGGAAAGCACACCCAGATTTTTTTTCCACGGGCTGATGTGGAATTGCAGCCTCCCTCTCTGTGGAGCTGAGCCATGAGGATGGCTTCTGCCCTGCCTCATCAGGAAATATTTCAGAGCACAGCCCAAACCCTCCTTGTATGCCTGTGAGGATGCACAGCACCACAGCAGCCTCCCAGACTCTTCCCAGCTGGGCTGCACACACATACATTATACATGAACATCCAGCATTAATCACCCTCACACACCACAGGGCTGCCAAGTGTGCTTACAGACTGTGATTCCATGGAAATGAAGGAATCAGATAGATCCCCTAAGATGCCAGTTGGTCCAGCTTCAAACAGTATATGTGAGTAACATTTTTGGCAGAAGTTTACAAGACTTTACACATTTAATTTAAGTGATCAGGTTTTTTAACCATGCCTGCTTGAAATAGGAACATTTTGGCTCGTGAGAACTGTTGGATACTTCTGTCTTTTATAGATTTGCCTGTGAACCTGGAAAAAATGACACTGTGAATTAAGAGATGACTCGAAGCACTTTTCTTTCCCAATAACTGCAAAACCAGCCCCTTCTTTTCCTCTCTGGGCAGGAGGCAAGTGATGACAGTTCACAGACACCCAGCACCCGTGTTGGGAATGATTTCCATGGGATGTGTTGGGCTGGGGGGGTCGTGATCACAGCTTGTGGCTGTGAAATAAACCCTGTGGGAGGGGGCCCAGCAGGATGGGCCATGCTGTCCCTCCCCGGGGGTGGCAGCTGTGGGGGGGAGAGCCAGGCTACAGACACACAGAGACCCCACACCAGCCCCAGGGAAGAGCCAGTCTTTGCCAGAAGACAGTGTAGGACAACTCCTAACTACTTGCATGGGAACTGTGTCCCAAGGTCAAGCAAAATTCCCATTCTTCTAGTAAAATCAAATGTACTTTGGCTGCAACTCTGTTAAAGGTCCTTTCCACAATTTCCATTAAGGCAACATCCCACTAACTTGGAATGGAACGAAGATGCCCCCCGAGGTCCTGCTGCTAAACACCTAATCAGGTGGAAATCTAAATGGATGTATAGATGAAAAGGCAGCACAGCATCAAATGATGATTTGTTTAAAACAAGCAGGGTATTGGGTAGGTGATCCCTACCTGTATGAAAACAAAGACAGTACAACACAGGCAACACTTTAAATTAGGATAAACAAATGAACTGGAGAAAACACAAAACATTTCACAGTATTTCACCAAAGGTTTGTTTTCCAGGAAAAACCCCTACCCAACATCTTCATAAACAACAAAGGAAACATCAATGTTCACATTTTGCTGCATATGATTCAATTCACATTTCTGAAACATGCACAACAGCCCAGCACTAAACAGGAACCTTGCAGTAGTAGATCAAACTAAAGGAAACACTTAATTGAAAATTATTATTTAGCACATTTCTTCCCAGCGTTAGGAACACTGAGAAAACCTAAAGGCAAGAAAGAAGGTGGAACTCACTGGAAGAGGCACAGATCCCCGGGCTCCCCAGCGGCTGTGCCACCCGCCAGCCCATCCTGTGAGGGCTGGGGGGCTCCTCCTCCCCAGCTCGGGGGGTCTCGTCAGTGTGTGCAGCACCCAACCAGTGCCTGTTCCCACGGCAGTTCCAGCCGGCTGCTCCACTCGGGGTGAATATTAATGCGGGAGCAGTAATGAACAGCCGGCCCCGCAGCCCAGCTGATGCCTGATATACAAACGTGATCCCAGGCAAAGTTAAACCTGTTAGTCCCTCCTTGTGCTTCCCAGTGCAATCCCGAGCAGGTCTGACAGGCAGCTGGGTGGAAACCCGGGGATTGTTTTTAAATGTGTTCTTTTAATCACGATTGTAAAACCCACACGTGGTCTCCCCTGGAGCCACCCCGCAATAAACCCGCTCCCCGGGGACCTGGTGTCAGAGCCAGCAACGGGGACATGTGAGGAGACCTACCCTGGCCTCAGCCCTCAGGAGCAGAGGGGACAGAGCTGCTGGGCACCCCTCAGAGCCACCACCCCAGGGGACAGGTCCTGGCACACAGAGGGAACCTCTACCCCACACAGTCAGGCTCAGCTTCACCTTCCTCCTCCTTTTCCTTCCGTTTTCCTGGGCAAATTCTGCTGCTCTGGGGAAGGTCATGCTCAGCCTGCACAGACATGCCCAGCTCACCCACACGTGCAAACAGAGAACACAGGGACAGAGTAACGTGAACACAGTTTTGCCAAACACGTTATTTCCTTTCCTATGCTGTTCACAGAACAGAAAGCTGCTCAGTCCTGCTCTATGGGATCAGTCCAAAGCCACAGACACCAACAAGTAACAGCTACCCTGGCACCTGAAAAATAACCTGAATAAATAGCTCAACTTCTTATTTGGTATATACCAAGGAGGAACTGTTTCTAAAGAGAGAGGACACTTTGCCAGCTGTTACAATCTGCAAGTGCCTGCCTGCAGTGCAAAACTGCAAATATTGCCCCTCTGCCCTCACTGGTCACTGTGTGTCGGGTCCTGGCCCGAGGGTGCCCGCTGGCAGCTGCGCTTGGAGCTCTCCTTGTGACCACCAGAATGTTTGGATTGAGTTCTGCTGCTGGAGATCAGCAGAGCACACAGGTAGGCACAGCTGGTTTGAGTGGTGAAGGGGCAGCCCTGCCCTCACCAAGACCTGTGATGGGATTCTCCCGAGGAGCCTGGCCAGGAGGAAGCTCATTCACTGGCGCTGGGTTTGGTTTCATGCGACTATTTCACTGCAAAGTTGCAGTAATTCAACAAAACAGACAGGCTCCTAGCAGAGAGGGCTGCTTTGAAACCCTGAGAATAAATACCCTGCATCTCCCTTGGCAAAACCACACAGAAGTGGATGATGCTGCAGACCCAAACCAGCTCCAATTGGCTTGGAGTACATCTGACGGCGGGACGGCTCCTTTCTGCACAGCGCTGGAGCTTCCTGCCACACCTATTGCTTTAAGGGCCATCTAACATCTTTTCAAAGGTCTAAACAAAGTGAGACATCAACAAATGTTTTTTTGTCTGTCCAATAATGAAAAAAAAACACAACTAGTTTTAATTTGTAAGGAGAATACTGGATTCCTACTAACTCATGTTTTTAAAACAATCTTTGTCTGACTATGTATGGAAGTATTTTCCATAAGCTAAGTCTGCACAGATGGACTTGACTTGGAAATAAAAAAACTGTTCCTATCAGAGGTACATAACTTCAGAAATGTGCTTTATGTTAAAGGACTTCACATAATTACAAAGTTAAACACAAATGAGTACAAGCTGTCTTTCTGTGCTGAATGAAAACCCCAGGCACTGTTTCTCTAGGTGTGAAATAGTCATTTGCTCAAAGGTTGTTTCCTCCTTTGATTAAAAGTACTAAATGAAGCATCGTACACGATCATGGAGCTTTTAACATCCTGAGGTGTCTCCATCAGGGGCTGGGTATCTGCCCCAGCTGTTCCCTGAGGTGTGATCCCATGGCTCCAAGGGATGGATGGAGCTGCTCAGGCTGGGACACCCTGCGCTTCTCTGCCTCCTGCAGCCCCTAGAAGGCTCAATGAGCACAATTCATTGATGGCCCTGATCTTAGAAAGGGAAAAAGCTCCATCTTCAGTAACAGTGTTTTGAGAATTGCCTCCTTTTCACAAAGAGAAGAGCTTTCCTCCTACAAGGCAGCACAGCCGTTCCCAGTGGGAATGGCAGGGCCCTCCCTGCAAGGTGCCAGCAGCCTGCGGCTCCCCCTGGAAGCAGTTAAGGTGGAATCCATGGAGCTGAGAGGGCTTCAAGTCATTCAGGAAGCACTCAGGGCTTGGTAAAATGATGGCATCATGTAATTTCATTAGTACAGTTAGATAATCTGATTCTTTCAAGCAGGAATTTTTAAAAAAGTTTGATTTTCAAAGGGAATTCAGAAAATATAACCTCAAACCAGTCTGTACCTTATCACTAAGAACGTGTTTATTTTATAACTCCCACATTAGAGGCCATTAGTGTGGACTTCTCATGTAATGCAGCAAGTTTATTTAGGATGTGCATGAGCCATCCTTTCATTCTGATGCATTAAATCAATGCATCTAGTAATGCATGTTTGGAGAAGAAAGTACTTACACTGCAGGATATTAGAACAGTATCAATAGATGAGTTTGTTATAAACGGTTTTAATATCCTCTTTGTAAGTTACAATAACACATGAGGGGGAAAACGCAGCCTAAAATTTAAGAGAAGAGATGGCTCAATGAAGGGTCTGTCCCCCTGCTCTGACTCAGGGATCTGTCACCCTGTGCCAGATCAGGGGCTGGGGGTTGTGAGGACACGGGGGGGCTGTGCCAGCCCTGGGGTGGGACCTGCAGGGCTGCACTGCCAGGAATCTCTCATGGTTGGGAAAGACCTCTAAGATCACCCAGTCCAACCAGGGCTGGGGGGACAGAAAACACAACTCACCCACATGAACCAACAAACAACAACAAAAAAAAGCAACCCCCAAAACACAACCACACCCCTCCAAAAGCCAACAACACACAAAAAAAACCCATGCCCACTAGAGCATGTCCTGAAGTGCCACATCTACATGGTTCTTGAACACCTCCAGGGAGGTACCTCCACCACCTCCCTGGGCACCAGTTCCAGGGCCTGACCACTCTTTCACTAAAGAAATTCCTCCTAATTTCCATTCTAAACCTCCCCTGGTGTAACTTCAGGCCATTTCCTCTGGTCCTGCTATTATTCCCTTGGGAGAAGAGCCCAACTCTCACCACCCTACAACCTCCTCTCAGGCAGTTGTAGAGAGCAATGAGGTCTCCCCTCAGCCTCCTCTTCTCCAGACTAAACATCCTCAGTTCCCTCAGTCTCTCCTCACAGGACTTGCTCTCCAGACCCCTTCCCAGCTTGATGTCTCTCCTCTAGACACGCTCCAGCCCCTCAGTGTCCTTCCTGTAGTGAGGGGCCCAGACCTGCCCCCAGTGCTGGAGCTGCAGCCTCATGCTTTGACTCGGAGCAGGTCTGTCAGCTCATCATGTGCTTTCAAATTTATTTTAGGATTTGGATAACAGTCAAGGGATAACAACTTAGAATAGACACAGATGAGTTTACTCTGAGACACTGAATACTACAAAAAGCGTGGCAAACCCCAGAGGTGGTAACTTCAAAACTGAGGCAAAGCCCAAACTGCACATCACAAGAATATGGGTGCTATGTTTGTTCCCATGTCCTTGGGCATGGCAGCAGCACTTCAGGGATAGTTCTGCAGATCAGCTGCACTCTCACCAGACTGTGAGTCGTGAGGCCACTGAGGGGACAGTGGAGAAGAAATTGTCCCAAAACCCAGAGAGCATCAGTGGCCTGGCAGGCTCTCATGCAAGGACTTCCCCTCTCAGAGGGAGCTCCCACCTGCAGGGGGTTCTCCCCTTTTCCAAGCAGCATCATCCATTTGATGATTGTGTAAAGCTCATCACGGAGTGCTTACAGGAACTAAGGCAGGGAAGGAGGGACCAAGGTGGATCAGTAAGGAACAAAAGGTGGGCAATCAGAGGCCAAGAAACAGAATTGTGTTACAGAATTCCCTGAACCAGCTAGTAACCCAAAGCCTCTTCCTGGCATCTGAAATGTGAACAGCATTAATGGGCACTGACACAGGTAAAAAAGTTCCTTACCAAGCATCCTAATTGTTTTTAAAAATCATTTTGCCATCTCTACTAGCAAACATCAAACAGATTTGAAGTGAGCTCCAGGAGTTTGAACACCTCTCCTTATTCACTCATCTAAGTCCAGCACTGAACTTTCATTCACTGACTATAAATCACATAACTGCAGTTAAAGCACAGATGCAGACAGCAACACATACCAGTCTACGAATTTCTCTCTCACACTCCCTTTTAATTCTGCTGATTTCCTCTTGATGCAGGTGATACACACTCCTTATCTCTGCAGCTTTAATTTTGTCAGCCTGGATGACCACAGTCAAAGCCTCTTCCACTTGTTTCTTAGCCCCTTTCAGCTCTGAAATTTCTTGCTGCATTTTTATTTTCTCAACTTCAAACCCCTTCTTGGCTTCCTCCTTTGCCTCTGTCAGCAGCACCGTTTTCATCTTGTCAGGACCCCCATCCCGTACAGCATTGAGAAGGGTCTGTAGTCTCTGGATTTCATTATCTTTAATTTTTATTACTCTAAGCAGTTCAGCTTCATGCTGCCTCAGAAGTGCTTCTCGAACAGCTTGGAGCTCCTTCATTTTCTCTTCATGAAGTTTGACTTTAAGCTCAGTTACCACCACTGTGCTCTTGTGCTGTTCGTGCTCTCTGATCTGCTTAACCTCCTGATTTTTCTCTCTTTCCAACTTGCTGACCTACAAGGGAAAACAAAGAAGTACTTTTAATCAACAATGATTAATACAAATCACGATATTATCATTAATGCCATGGATCACTTTACAAAATTAGGCCTTAAGGCTCTATGTCTGTGCCTGAAAACAGGGTCCCCAGCCTTAAAACTGCAAATGCTGTTGCAAAATGAAAGGATTAACAATGCTCTATTTAAATATGTGTTCACACACCTCTAGAAGCTTCTTTAAACATCAGATTCATAGTCTACAATGCCTAATAATGACGCAAATTAATGGAAACATGCAGAATATAATTCTGTCCCTGCATGGCAATGCATGTCTCTATTAGCATTTTGGGGCCAAAAAACCCCAAACTCTATCGGCAGGAACTAATTTGAAGGATTAGGGAAAAGCAAATAAATTTTTCATGCCCTCACTGAGAAGAGGCCTGAAGGGGATGGCTGAAAGCTCTTGAAGCTCAAGCTGCATCGGCTGCTGCTCCCTCAAAGCTCAGGGTGAGCCTGGGGCTCCTGAGCCTCTGGCAGTCAGAGGGGGAGGCAGAGCTGAGAACGGTAAGCAGCCAGGCTGGAGGGTCTGAGGCATAAAATCCAAATGAAATCAGTGTAAAGAGAAGACTCAAAGTGAGTTTCTTAACAACACAAATTGCACTCAAAGCCCTCTGTGCAGCCACCCCCGTAAGCAGGTGAATACTCACTGGGCAAGGCTGCAGCAAGAGAAAGCAGGACGTGGACAGCCCAGCCCACCACGGTGCCACCCGCTCCAGCAGGTGCTTGTTGTCCAGCAGCCTGGCTGGCATGTAGCCCTGTGAGCTTTCCAGCTCACCTCCTCCTGGGTGGCAGCAGCAGGTTGTGCTGCCTGCAGGCCGGCCCTGCTGGGCTCTCCCACCCAGGGCTGGTCTTTTGTACCCCGGGCACCTCCCAAGCCCCCCGAGGAGCAGCTGCGGGCGTCTCTTGCTGGAGCTCTATCTGGATGTCGGTGAGCTTGGCCCTGAGCTCCTCGTTGGCAGCCTGCAGGGCAGCCAAGGCGTCCAGCTCCTCCGCCCGGGCGCGGCTGCCCGAGCCCTTCTTGGACATGGCGCCGGCAGCAGCGGCGGCTCGGCCCGGCTCTGCCCTCTACATTTTCTCACTCGCCTGCAAGGAGGGAAAACACAGCAGCAGTCAGAGCCCGGCAGGCCACGATGCACCCACACAGCACCTTTCTGGGAAGCACCATCAGCTGGCTGAAGGGGCCCTGCCCTGGATGAAGCCAGGGCTGGGCGCCTGGTCACGTCTGATGGCATTTTCTTATACACCTGTCTAGAGCAAAAGGCCTAAACCACAAACTCTGAGCATTTTCTGTTGCTGCATTAGCACTGAAATTCACATGAGGGGGATGTGGGTGCTCGGGAGGTTTGCCCAAACACCCTCCCCTGGCACTGTGACAGATGAGACGGCAGCTGGGAAGCCGGCGTGGGCAGAGCACCCCTGTGCTCTTTGCAGGGCACTTTTAAGAAAAGGCATGTCCAATTTTCTACAAATATCTTTCAGAAATCCATGGTGAAAATAATAAAAGTCATAAAAACAGTGAGAAGCTAGAGAGGCAAGCAGGGATTACACAAAGGCAGCAGTTTCCCATAACAGCAATTAGATCTGTATATGATTATCTAAGCCTGGTGACAATGTAGCAGTTTACTTACACTACCAGGTTTCCAGATAAATCTAAACAAACACAACTGAGACAAGGAAATTCACTCTATTAAACAGTGCAGAACCAGGCAAAAGGGGACCCAGCTTCACCAGCTTCATGCATTGGTAGAGTTTGTGCCAACCCATCAGTCCCAACAGTCATCAACGACACAATACACACAGCTTATGATGATAACTTCAGGTTCATCAGTGAAACAGTCACTGTCACACTAAGTACAGCACTAAAAACTACACTCATTTGCTGATCTATTTTTTTTTTTTTCCAAAATTCTCCAGCAGCCTTTGCCCAAGCACAAAGAGCAGTGTTCTGGAATGGGTGAGCAGAATTAAAGCCCACAGAGATTGTGCCAGAGTTAAAACATCACATTACCAATGAAACCTGAGGGTCCTTTGCAATAAGCACTAGTAAGGAAAGAGGGATAAGAGTTTTTGAAAACTCATCTCCTTGTCAAAAAGACCTCACATGCCAGCATAGGCACAGGTAGCCAAGGAGCAAGATACAAACTCACTCCAAAGAATTTGCAATCTGAGACAAAGACAGATAAAGGTGGTTTTTTAGGTTAATACCATTTTTATGCTGCATCCACCCTATGGCTCAGAAAACTCTGACAGACTTCCACGTGAAAATAAACAAACACCCTATTCTCCAAATCAAGTGAAACCCCTGTGATTTACGAGTTGTCTGCACGGGTGTGACCTTGGCTGAAGTTACCACAGTTTCTCCTTCCTCATTTGGTTAATTTCTCATGGCTGTTGGTGCAGACAGTCAATTAGTGTCATGCACTTGATCACTCTGTGCTGAACAAGCGAGTAGGAGGGTGTTCAGGTTGCTGTCAGTTCTTCCTCTGGGCAGTGTTTAACTCAGAGCTCATCAATAGCATGAGCAGATTTGATTAACAGAAACGTGAGGATAGCAAGAAATTCTGGGCAAACACTGTGTCCTGGGGCTTTGCATCCCCTGAAGCAGTGGGATGGAGGTACCATGTGCTCCAGCCCACAACAGGGATGCTTCCCCAGTGTTTCTTTCACACTCTGTACACCTTCTGAATGAACTTCTCTTATAGCAACACTGCTTAGTCAAATCACTACGGAAGGAGAATTCCCACACTACTGCACACGCTCCCTGCTAATTATCCCAAGCAATTTTTCTACCTGTGGATCCAGACTCTGCCTGTGCAAGGCCAGGTCACTCTTATGGAAAAGATAAACAGCAACACAGAGACAGTTGCCTCAGCTTCTCTAGACAAGGCTGAGTGGTATAAAAGTTTTAAAACTGTCCACAAAAAGCTATTAATGGGGATGAAATGATAACTGAAAAACTCAGGGGAGCAGCTCACAAGCTCACCCTGCAGGTCCACACTCATGGAGAGGGACAATGGGGAAACACCAGCAGCAGAGGGAAGGACCCAAAGGATGTGGAGAGAACTGAATGATCCTGAAGGCCTTGGCAGCAGAGGAGGTCTGAAACCCAGGGGTGAAAAGGCTCTGACTTTCAATCCAGCTGTCACATAAGACTTGGGCCAACTTCTGAGCCAAGGAGGAGGACAACATGGTTTCATTCCTTTGGAGTGAATGGCAGAAGGGATTGGGAACTTTACAACAGCATGTACATTTGCAGAAGAATGTAAAATCTAATGAAAAACATTTCAGTGGAAAACTTTGACTTGCTTAGATTAAGCTATATCCTAACAGATCACAGGTATTTCTCAGTTCAAAAACTTATTTGGATTTGTTTTTAACTGTTGTTACATTTCTAGTTTGAAGTAAATCCTTGTTTTAAAGATCTATTTCATTTATTCTATAAAACACAGAAAACCCCTCAAATTCAGGAGAAGATTTCCAGCCTTGTCAATACTAACCTTATTAAAGTGGATAACAACCTTTTGGACGATGACCTTTAATGCTTTGGTTTATTCATCTTGACTCATGGTGAAAACCACAACAGAGCAGCACTGTTCCCTCTCCAAGCACCAGTGAAAAGGCTTAACAGTACAGGGCAGCTGTCATAACAAAATAACAATAGTTATACTAAAATACCAATATAATAATGGTAACTGCATAATAATAACAATATAATAATAACAATAATAATAATAACAATAACAATAACAATAACAATAATAATAATAATAATAATAATAATAATGACAATATAACAATAATAATAAATAACAGCCTGGTTTGAATTCTAAGAGCGAAACCCTTCACAATTAGGAAGAAGAGGGCAGAGAGAGGCAGCTGCATCAGGGGATACAGAGCTGGGACACAGGGCTGGGAGCACTGGCTGGAGTTTAACAATAGTTATACTAAAATACCAATATAATAATGGTAAATGCATAATAATAACAATATAATAATAATAAATAATAATAATAACAACAACAATAATGATAATAATAATAACAACAACAACAATATAACAATAACAATAATAATAAATAACAGCCTGGTTTGAATTCTAAGAGCGAAACCCTTCACAATTAGGAAGAAGAGGGCAGAGAGAGGCAGCTGCATCAGGGGATACAGAGCTGGGACACAGAGCTGGGAGCACTGGCTGGAGTTTGGGAGTAACCAGGCAGAGCTGCTGAGGGCTGAGGAGATCAAGCAGGACAAGTGGGCACTAGAAATCTCCACTGGATCAGAGTAGGAGGGGAAAGGCTGAGACTTAGAGAAAGAGTAGGAGAAATAAAACATTCCTGGCATTAGTTGGCCAAACCAAGGCATACAACAAACAGCCATAATTCTGTTGTTTCTCAGTCAGGTTTGACTTTGCAGCCTTGAAGTTTCTATCAAAAGAAACATGTTTGGTTGGTCAAAGAAACAGCAATAAATATGATTTTACAGATACTGCCTGAAAAACCTATTAACAGGAGCAGATGTTCTTGGTACTTACGATTCCTGCTTCCTTGTGTGAGGAGATGCAAGACACCAGTGATTGCTCTACAGTGGAGATCCTAAGCCCCCCTTTCTTTAGAGACAAAAAATGGGGCAGTCTGTAGCCACAGGCACTGAACTCTACCTATGGAATGAATGAAGCATTTGTGCATACTACCATTATTTTAAATAATACGTTACAATGTTAGATACAGTAGCAGGAGTCAGGTTATTTCACCACCTTGGGAAATGAGAAGCAGCAGAACAGAAGATTTTAAATGCTGACATTTGAATGCCAGACAAACCATCATTGGAACAATACGAGGATTTTCAAGACTCATCAATCAGAGGGATTACTTTTTTCCAGACAAGGGCTACAAGAATTTTTGGCAGTTTTCCTTACAGAAAAGAAAACTAAGGAACTGATGTGGCAAAAACGTGACTAGAGAAGCAGAAGCCCAGCATCTGACTTTCTGGGAGAGAGCACCTGGAATGGTGCAGAGTGGTCAGACACCCTGGGCATCCCTGGGGATCAGCCCTTCCCTCCCAGGTGCTGATGGGGCCCCAGGGAGCCCTCGGGAGCTCCAGGCAAAGGAGCACAGCATCCTGCACCTCCCCTGCAACACGGGCATCTAACGGCTCCAAGCCCGGTGGGAATTCTGTCTGAGCTCCACTGGGAGCACCACGTGTCCTCAGACCTTCAGTGTCTAAGCTTTTAAATTTTGTTTTAAATGCTATAGAGGTTTCATTGTACGGATTGACACATTTCAGGCTGGACAACTTAGGAAAGGTTGTGCCCAGACCCTCAGACAGACCCAGCCCCAGAGCTGACAGAGCAGCTCAGAGGGACAGCAGCACCAGGGAGCACCCCAGAGGACCCATGTCCTGTAAAACCATTCCCCTTACTCAGAGGGACAGCAGCACCAGGGAGCACCCCAGAGGACCCATGTCCTGTAAAACCACCCCCCTTACCTTTGCATTTTGACCTTTTTTTTTTTTTTCCTTACGTTTTCTTGTTTGTTTTGTTTTTTAAACAAGTTATGCAGAGAGGGTATCTATAAGACATCATCTTATCAGAAAAGTCTTTGTATGTTTTGATTCTGGGAGAATATATTATGCATATGATTCCTGGCATGTTTGATATTGAAAATAGCATTAATAATGCATCATAAGCTGCCTTTAGCAGGGCTTGTCATTCTTTTTGCCTCCTGACTTGCAATTCAGACATCAAGGCTAATTGGAAAATGTGTTTTCTAGGTATCAGTCTCTGAGATCAATGTTTCACTGCACTTAAAAATAACTGAATAAATCCCTATCCAAAGTGCCAATATCTTCAGCAAAACATAACTTAAGCAATGCACTATTCTTACAAAGACTGAACATTTCAAATGGATGGTACAGCCTTGTGATCACTGTTGTTTTCTATTTTTGACAAATTGCTATGATTAATTAGTTTAGACAAAACTTTGAGTCTCTGGTGCATCTCAAAATATTGTAATAGAAAGAAAATGTAA